ATTTATAGACTTAGGACAGGAGCACATACACAAGCATACACACCACACAAGCAACTATTAACAGGCTTAAAATAACTGACTTTATAAAAACACAGTTATTGTCAAAGATCTCTACACATCACACACACAAAGGGACAGATCATCTAGACAGAAAGTCAACCAAGAAATAAAAAAAGTATAGGACTAGATGGATTTAATAGAAATATGCAGGGCTTTCTATCCCAACAGAAATGAGTTCACATTCTTCTCAAGTGCACATGGGAACATTCATTCCCACAAATAGATCACATGCTGGAAAACAAAATATATGAAAATAGAAGTCATGTCAGGGCCCGCCTTAGTGGCGCCATGGGTTAGGACACAGCACTGCAAGTGTGAGTTTGAATTGTGGTCCTGGGCGTGATCCATGTGGTGCCACAGACCTCTCCTGTCTCACCTGCTGCTTCCCTCAGCAATGTACTTCCTCAATCCTCCTATTCTGCTCCCCACTCTGGTGAATCCTCTCACCACCCCTGCACCTCTGGCCTGTACCCCAGTTCTGTATGCATAAAAAAATAAATCTTTTTTAAAAGAATATCAACAATCCTTTCATAACAGATATGAAGCTAGAAATTAACTACAAAAGTAGCTTAGCATAAACCAAAACATGTGGAGACTCTATGGAATGTATTAAGTTTTGGGTCAACACTAAAATCAAAAAAGAAAATGGGTAGATAAGCTACTAGCTCCTAAGAATACTCTAAAAGTAATACTAAGAAGGAAGTATATAGGCAATACACTAATTCCATATTTTCTTTAAAAACCAAGAAAAATCCCATTAAACAATATTTGTAATTAATATATAACATATTTACACATAAATATAAATAACATAACTATATAAAACAACAACAAATAAAAATTAGAGCAGAAATAAATACATAGAAAAAGAATGCTCAAAAATCAGTTAAAGAAAGACTGGGTCTTCCAAAATTTTTTAAAAATTAACAAATTTGTTTGTTAAAGGGAAGGAAGCACAATGGTCTATGGTAGTCGAATATAGGTGATTTGGTGATGGGTGCACTGCAGTGGTATTATCTTATAAGAGTATCTAATATTAGCTCAATTAAAAACTAATTTCAAATTTTCACTTTAGTGGGATCATTAAACAGGCATTTTAAGAAATGTCATATCTGATGCTAAAGTATTTGCTTAATATGGTATAAAGTCCTCTTCCCACCCTGCCACCTACACACTGCCTTATGCCACCAATTATCATATTGCTTATTATGTGAATGAATCTTTGAAGACAGTGAGTTTAGTGCAAGATGAGAAAAGGGGTGATGTTACTTATCTGGGTCTATTTGACTGCAACAGCACATTTCTGGTATTCATTGCCATTCAAATGGAGAGTGCAAGTATAGGGAACTCCTTTAATAAGTTCTACTACACAGGGATTGTGTGTATACACACACACACACACACACACACACACATATACACACACACACATACATAAAGGGGTAACAGAAAGGTGAAGTGTCTTTAAAGATATTACTGAGATGTATGTCATGATGTCATGCAGAGTTTTGCCAATATTTTCTTCTATATATTTTATGGTTGCAAGTCTTATGTCCAAGTCTTTTATACATTTTGAGTTGATTTTTGTTTATGGTAGGAGGTAATAGTCTAACTTCAGGTGTTTGTATGTAGCAGCCCAGTTTTCCAAGTACCATTTATTGAACAAACTGTCCTTGTTACAGTGCATATTCTTTGCACCCTTATCCATAAATATGTGAATTTCTGTGTTTTCATTTCATTTCCATTGGTTTACTGTCTGCTTTTGTTCCATTTACCATACAGTTTTAATTATTATGGCTTGTTAGTCTAGTTTGAAGCCTGAGAGTCTGAAACCTCCATTTTCCTTCTTTTTGATCAGGGGAGCTTTAGCTATTCAAGGATTTTTGTGGTTCCATATGAATTTTGTCAGTATGTGTTCTCTGAAGAATGTCATTGAAATTTTTATTGGAATAGCAATGAATCTGTACATTGTTTTTGGTAGGATGGCCATTTAGACAATATTAATTATTACAATCCATGAGCAGGAGATCTCTTTCCATTTCTTTATGTCGTCTTCTAGTTTTTTTGACAAAGTTTTATAATATTCTTTGTGTAAGCCCTTTTCCTTTGTTAGATTTATTCACAGATATTTAAGTTTTTTAATTTGTTTCAGTTATAAAAGGGATAGCTCCCTTAATATCTTCTTCAGATTGATCATTTGATTTACAGATTTTTGTGTGTTGATTTTGTATCCTGCTTCTTTGCTAAACTGATTGCTTGCATTAGTTTTTCTGTAGAGTTTTTGTGGTTTTCTATGCATATTATGTCATCTGCAAACAGTGATAGTTTTACTTCTTTCCCTATTTGGATCCCTTGTATGTCTTTCTCTTGTTTTATTACTCTGGCTAGGATTTTGAGTACTATATTAAAAAGTGTTGAGAATGGGCCCTCCCTGGTGGCACAGCAGGTAAAAGCACAGCACTAAGAAGCTTAAGCCACTTCCACATGAGTTCGATCCCCGCCTGCCATGGAGGAGATTCACATGGCGAGGCAGACCTCTCCTGACCTGCCCGCTGCTCCCCTCAGCAGTGTATTTCGTTGATCTGCCTGTTCTGCTCCCCGCTCTGTCTCTGGTGAATCCTCTCACCCTCCACATCTCTGGCCTGTACCCCAGTTCTATATGAATAAATAAATAAATCTTAAAAAAAAAAAATGTGTTGAGAATGGACAACCTTATCTTGTTCCAGATCTTAAGGCTTTCAGCTTTTCACCATTAAGATGACATTGGCTATGAGTTTGTTGTATATGGCCTTTAATATGTTATGTTCCTTTTATCCCAAGAATTTTGAGGGCCTTCATCATAAATGGTTATCGAACTTTGTCAAATGCTTTATCACATCTACTGACATATGATTTTTATTTTTCCTTTTGTTCATGTGTTGGAGTACATTAACTGATTTTCAGATATTCAACCATCCTTGTGTCCCTGGAATAAATCCTATTTGGTCATGGTGAATTATCTTTTTGATCACTGTTGGAGCCTTCTGCATAGAATTTTTTGAGGGTTTTTGCATCAGTGTTCATTAGAGAGATTGGCCTATAATTTTTGTTTTTTGTGTTGTCTTTGGTTTTGGTATTAGTGTAATGTTGACTTCATAAAATGTATTTGATTGTATTTCTTCCTTCTCAATTTCTTGAAAGAGTTTGTGTAGAATAGGCACTAGTTCATTTCTGAATATTTGGTAGAATTCATCAGTAAAGTCATCTGGTCCTCTGCTTTTGTTTTTGAGGAGGGTTTTGATTATTTCAATTTCACTGCTTGTAATTGGTCTGTTTAGGTGTTCTATTTCTGCTTCAGCTAGCATTGGATGACTGTCTCATTCTAGGAATTTGTCCATCTCTTCTAGATTGTCAAATTTGTTTGCATGTAACTAACTGTTCATCTCTGATGATTATTTGGATTCTGCTTTGTTGTAATTTCTCCTCTTTCATTTCTGATCCTATTTATTTGTGCTTTCTTCTCCTGCTTTTTTTTTACTTCATGAACCTGGCTAGAGGTTTGTCTTTTTTTTTTTTTTTTTTTTTTTTTCAAAGAACCAACTTTTGGTTTTACTGGTCTTTTGTATTGTTTTCTTAACTTCTATTTCATTTCTATATGATTTTATTTTTTTTAAAGATTTATTTATTTATTCATACAGAACTGGGGTACAGGCCAGAGGTGCAAAGGCAGTGAGAGGATTCACCAGAGACAGAGTGAGGAGCAGAACAGGCTTTAGCGGGAGGGCCAGGGTTCTGTTATTTTAACCAACCTGCTACTCTGTATCTTTTTATTGATGAGTTTATTCCATTTACATTGAGAGTTAATATTGATACACTGGCATCTGCATTAGCCATTTCATTTGCCTTTTTGTTATTCTATTCCTTATCTTATTGTTCTTCCTATTTATTCCTCTGTTGGTTTTGATTTTAAGGTTTCTTGTAATATTTTTTTGGAGTGGGGGTTTAGTAGTAATGAGCTTCTAAAGACTGTGTGTATCTGAGAAGGTTTTAGGTTTTCCTTCATAGAAGAAGGAGAGCTTTGTGGTGTAGAGCATCCTTGGTTCGAATTTGTTGGCTTTCAGTTTGTTGAATATGTCACTCCACTGTCTTCTTGCCTGTAGTGTATCCTCAGCCAAGTTTGATGTCAGCCTAGTAGGTTATCCTTTATAGGTCATCTGTTTCTTTAACTTCATCAGTTTCATTATTTTTTTACTTGCCTTGGATCTTTAGAAATGTTACTATTTTTCTTCTCACCATAGTTTTCCTTTCATTGTGGTAATTTGGTGTTCTTCTAGGCTTCCTGTATATCTGTTTTCATTTCCATCTTCATGTTCGTGAAGTTCTCTTCAATTACCTCCTTGAATAGTTTTTTTTTTAGTTCCTTTGTCTCTTCCCTCACTTTCTGGGATTCCTATGACTCTTATATTTCCTTTCTTCATGGTATCAGATAGTCCTTTAAAGTGTTTCTTCATTCTTTTCTACTCGTACCTCTTATCTCTTTCTTTTTTGGTTCTTTTTAGTGTCTGTATCTTTGAGAGTATTGATTCATTCTTCCACTTCTTCCCTTCTATTTTCATGTCTTTTCCCTAAATTCTTGAGTTCCACCGCTAATCTCTGGATACCTCTAGTTCCTTCACTTCCTGTCTCAGTTCATTGATCATATTCTTATCTCTTTCTGCATTTTCTCTTAACTCTTTAATTGTTTTCATTATGGCCTTTTTGAATTCTTTGTTAGGTGGAGAATTTGATTTTTTTTAATTTAAAAATGAGACATAATGAAGCATGTAATGAGTTTCAAACATTGTCTTATACATAATGACTCCTTGAGGTATTTACTGTAATTATTTCTCTGCTGAGAAAGAGAAAGAAAATGAAAGAGTGGAAATGGGAGGGCAGGGGAAGAAATACCCATGGTCTCTTACTCTTTGTGTGTTTTCTGAAGCATCTGCAAGTCCTGTTTTTGGTTTATCAGTTGGTGGAGGATGACTTTCCTCTTGCGACCTGTGGCTGTCTCCATCTGGTGCCTCATGTATTCCTGTTCCCGCTTTCGCTTTTCTGCCATCAGATCGCTCTCATTCTTACCAAAGATAGGTTCAGAGGAGTCTGATTCAAACACAGGCAGCTGAGGGGGTTTGTTCTTTACCTAGACATACAAATAGTGAAAACTATGATTTTTCCAAAGAATACACTTTATGCACAATACTGCAGCGTTGTGGAGGAGTTAACAAGAGGTTCAAAAACAACCAGATAAATAACACATAAATGCATTTACAATTTGGCATTTACAATTACAATTTAGAAATATTACCATGTTATTGCAGCACTGCATAATATTTAAAATAATAATTGTTCTTTTACCTGTGTATCCAAAGCTCTCTTATAACACAGTCTTTCTTCCATCTTATCTTTTATATATCTGGCTCTTTGTGCAGCGAGTCTGGCAATTAAGAATAAAAGAAGTAGGAACACAGTGTGTTATACTGTCTTTAGTAACAGAGAGCAATATAAATATATTTGATAAGTATTAATGGGAATGAAAGCTTGGTAAAAGTGGCATTTCCTTTTGGGGACTTACATTTTAATGATAAAAGAGTAATTCAAATGAATAAACTTGTAGGCAATGTGTTTGAACAGGTTTAAGCACATTGCCCAAACTCACTACTAATAAGACAAGGTACTCCTCCCCTTGTGCTTTAAGAAAATATAGTGCTATTTCCTATAATAAATTATGATTCTGTTATGTATAATTCCCAGTGAACCCACAGGATCTATAAATGAATTTAATAGAACATTTATATTCCATAGAAATAAAATATTTTGGCTACAGAAGCTAGATTATTTACAACAAATAGGAATCTCACACTACAATAGCTCAGTAGCAGAAGTGTGACCCATTTAGGCATGTTTGAACTCTGTGACCCTGACTCTGCCTCAGGCTTGAGATGACCCAAGCAGGATCCAACCCTTATGACAGAAATTGACTGGGCTGGAACAGGGTTGAGTTTATATTATTATAAAAGGCACTTTGACAGAGATGGTTTTATCATCAGAAAACAGTAAGGGCTTGTGTCTTTGACAGAAGGAACAGCATGTGTAAAACTATTATAATCAATCATTCTTTCTTGAAAATTCAGAATTAAGACTAACATTCATCCAAGTTTCAACTGTAATAATAACAATGTTGTCTAAGAGCTGTGCATATGGACAGAGAGAAAGGGTTTTTACATGGCTTTTAGTCCCTGGCTCCAATTCTTCTGCCCCCCCCCATGCATTCATTGATCTCCATGGGACACCTCCACACATTTATAATATATCTCAGCTGGGAATGATGCTTATTCAAGACAAGACCTTTCCTCCACCTACCAATATGAGTGGTCACAAAACAATACAAAATAGTATTCTATAATTACAGAAATTACAGATGGGCAGTCATTAAATAATTATGACGATGAAGACTTCCATTCTTCAATGAAATGCTGTACTGGCTGCCATCTGGATTATTTTGCTCAGTTGATTCATCTGAGATGTTAATGAAATTGCTAACACTGATTCAATGTCACAGAAAAATATGTTTCACATGAAAATTCCAAACCCATTTTTCAGAACATGTTTAAGAGGACTTACTCCTCTGTGAGCTGCACTTGTTCTAGGCGGTCCATTAATTCTTTGTTTTGTCTCTGCTTTATTGCCTTTTCTCGTCTGTTATCCATTTGTCTCAGGAGACTTTGGGAATACTCCTCTTGCTTAAAAGCATTAATCTCAGCACTGAGTGGCCTTTTATCAAATAAGAAGGACTTCTAGAATGAAAGAGAAGCAATTTGTTTATTCTAGGATATCAAAAATCAACAAAGAATAAAGGTATTAATTCAGAAGTCTAAAACAATAAGAAAGCATTTATTAATTTGTAATATGTACCCAATCCTTGACACATTAACAGTGAGTGTTGAGGAATCTCAAACAATAACATGAGTGTGCTCAAGGACGAATCCAAGAACTGAATGATACCCCATTGCTGAAAGGGAAATGAAAGTGAACTCCATGGAGTATGCCCTGAGCTAGCATTTAGAACTTAGAATTAAGATGAAATTAAAGAGGCTTCTCAGTATAATGAAATGAACAAGAATGGAGAGGAGATGAGGAAGATATTGAACCCAAACTCACGGACCTACTCATTCTAGATACTTATGGCCCAACTGATCAAGAGCAGAGATCAGTAAATAGACATTGAATACATAAACAACACATCAGGAAGCTTAAGATAATGAAAGTGCTATAAAGTCTTTACAATTTAAATTGACTAGACTGGAATATGGCAGTTGTTGGTAGCTTGTTATACAAGGGACTTTAAGTGGAGCTGATTCTGTCATCATAAAAGAGTAGGGGCCTGTGTCTTGAGCAGAAGGAATAGCATGTGCAAAACTACTATATGGAAAATAAACTGAACATGTTTAGAAGGAAGAAAAATATCTATGTGACTGTGGAACAGCAAGCAAGAAGAAAGCACAGCAGGGAACAAATCAAACCTGGAAAATCAAGGTAAAGAGTTTAGATTTTAATTCAATGGGAGGTCATAAGAGGTTTTACACAGGAAATCAATATACTGTCATCAATAATTTTAAGATTCTTTTACTGCTATGTAAAGAATGCACTGTAGAAAAGCTAGTACAGGGAAGCAGTGAGCCTAACTAGGCAGGTATTGCAGAAGCTGGGTTTTATAATGTGGCTGAACTACACTAATAGCACTGCAAATGAATAGATGCGACGACTATTGCATAAATTTTGAAGGAAAAGTAACTGGTGGTTGTCTGTAAGTGAAAAATGAGGAGAAATTTGAGGTCTCTCCTCTGTGTGGGATTCATGCAACTGCCTGCTTAGTGATGCCACTTAGTGAAATCATAAGGTCAAGGGAAGAACAGAATGAGGCAGTTAATAGTTATGTTTTGCATTAATTTGAAAGAAAAACTGCACTTCTATGTTTATTGCAGCACTATTTACAATAGCTAAGATATGGAAATACTCTAAATTCCCCCAAAACAGGTGAATGGATCAAGAAGGTGTGGTAGATATACACAATGGAATGCTATTCAGCAATCAGAAAGATAAATTCATGTCATTCACAGCAACATGGCTGAAAGGGATTGTGCTCAGTGTAGTAAGTCAGAAGGAAAAAGGAAAAATATTAGATGGTTTCACTTGTAGGAGAAATTTAGGGGACCCAAACAAGGGATCAAGAAAATAAAAAGACAAAAACTAGCAAGAGGGCCTTCCCTCTTGCACAACGGGTTGAAGAACAACACAATGAAGTGATCCTCAGCCTCTGCAGCACGAATTTGATTCACAGCTGGCAGGGGGGGTGACCCACCCTCTTGTCCCCTCAGCAGTGTCTTTCAGTCAATCTGCCTGTTCTACTCCCCACAGTCTCTGGTGAATCCTCTCACCCCCCAAACCTCTGGCCTGTACTTCAATTCTTGTATGCATAAATAAATAAATCTTTAAAAAAAGAAAACGATAAATCAGGGGAGGGGAAAATAGAGGGATTAAAACAGGATCAGGAAGAACACAAGATACTATGCTGATGGTTCATGGGTAACTTGATGGTAGAAATTCTACAGGAACTATACCTGGAGGAGAAATTAAACATTGTACAAAAATGATGTAAAATATATACATATAAATAAATCTTTTGTAAATTTGTTTCGGTCTTTAGAAAAAAAGCATTCTATAAGTATATCAAAGAGGAGATTCAAAGTGATAAGTAATAAATAGCTTAAACTTAAGAGAAAAATGAGATAATGCCAAAATTTCAAAAGTACAGTAAGTTATCACCATCTTTCCCTACTGACCTTGCTGGAAATTTCTTTACCTTACTCTCATATAACAGGAAGTCTTTCCAGATCTCTTGGTATGGGCCAGCTAATGCATGCTGTCTGACAAGGTCCGAGATTGTGGGGGCACATTCCTAAAAAGTTAGGGGGCCCCAAAGCTGCTGTTTGTTGGGGCTGGTCCCTAGCAATCTCTCGTTAAATGACCTTCCTCTTTGCTCACATAGTGCCCTGTTCACAGATTTACCATAGTTCATATACCATATTCATGTCCCTTTAAATCTATTTACCCCACTAGCATGAGGTTTCTTTAGATGAGGAACTCTTGTTCTCCTGAGCACATAGGTTCAATGAATGTTTGATGATGAACAAAGAAAATACATTTTAACTAGTTCTATGTCCAGAGTATCAGATTACCTAGATGATGGTATGAACAGAAAAATATTTAGGCCAAAATAAAAGAAGCACATAATAACTAAACATGATAACTCAGTTACAGAACAGGTACTTACCTCCTGAATCTGGGTTTCTCAAATTTTACACACCTACAAATCACCCAACAATCACATTCATATTAAGACCCCTAGTCAAAAGATCTGGGCTAGGACCCTAGATTCTGAATTTCCAGCAGGCTCCTGGTGATGCTTTTTCTATATGTAGAGAGGTTGTTCCTGGGACAGGACTTAATTACACTGCCTTCCCACCACCTGTACCAGGTCCTGACTGTGAATTTCTGAACGTGAATGGTTTGAAGGCCAATTCTAGGCAACTCCTACCCTAAAAGGAAACTTCAGTTTTGCATAGGTCACTGTTCACTTGTTACCCTTTCAAGATGGTGGATCAGATTCAAAGATAGCAGCAGGGTAAAGGTGCCAGAATTACCTCCTCCATAGTCTCACAGCTTAGTTGCAGCAATAAAAAAAATTCAATAATGCCTGGAGGAAAAATAATGACTAGAGTACACACTGGCAGCAGAGTCCAGTGGATGGGAACCCCAGAAAGCAGAACAGCAGGCTCCAGCAAGAGCAGAGATACAGCAGAACCCCAGTAGTGGCAATGTTAGGGCCTAGTCTCCACTAGTGATATCTCTTGGAGCAGCAAGTCAGAGGAAACTACACAGAAATATAGTCCTGTAACTAAAAGTGGGGCTTCAGCAGCCTTTGGGACAGTGCAGACTTCAGCAGAAGTGACACTGAGATTCATGCTTCATCAAAAATAAATTGGTGCAAAGAGGAGCATGGAGTTGTCATCTACAGCAAGGGACTCTAGAGTCAGGGTTGTCAGCTCAGTCAGAGGCCTTGGGGAGAGCAGAGTGGAGGCTGTGTGGAGGTACACATCGAATAAGGAAAAGCCTTGTGGAGATTAGGTACTCCATACAGTCAAGGTTCCCAGCAAAGATAAGTGCAGAACAAGCACTCTGTTCTGCACTGTCCCTTCATCACCCTCTAGGACTGGTACTTATAATGGGAGGTATACCTAGAGCACTGCCAAGTCTTTTATTTAAAACACTGGAAAGGAGGAATATTGATGGTGCCACAAATATTCCAACTCTTTTATGTCTAGGTCCCTCCCCAACCTTGGTATCTAAATAACAGAGAAACATATGTAAGAAAGTAAAGGTCAAAAAAAAAAATCAAACAGTAGGTGTATATAATGGAATACTATTCAGCAATCAAAAAGATAAACTCTTGCCATTTGCAGCAACATGGATGGAGCTGGAAGGGATTATGCTCAGAGAATTAAGTCAGAAAGAAAGAAAAATATTGGATGGTTTCATTTATAGGAGGAAGATAGGGAAACCAAATAAGTGATGAGGAAAAAAAAGAAGACAAAACTAGTAGGCAACTATAAATTGGAAACATTCAGCAGGGGAGGGGAAAGGGAAGGGGTTAAGACAGAGAAGGGAAGAAAACAAGAGACTATGGTGATGGTTCATAGGTAATTTAGTGTCAGGAATTTTATGGGGACTACATTTGAGAGGAGAAATCAAACATTGTACAAAAAATGAACAATGATGTGTTTTTTATATATATGTGTGTGTGTATGTGTATATATATATAAGTATATATATATATATATATATATATATATATATATATACTTAAAATGTAAAGCAGTGTTTTGAACAGTAATTTCTCAATAAACATTAATTATTATGCTCTATGGGGGGGGGATCAAACAAAAATAAAGTACCACTGTAAGGAAAGTGAAGTTGTTCAACCTTTTAAGTTACTGCTGCAGACATTAAAATAATAATGAGACACTTCAAATGGCAAATTGGGCAGACAAGAATCATATCATAACATGAAAACTAAAGAGTATGACATCACAAGGTAATCAGATCTGTTTTAAGCAGACAAAATAGGATTAAGCATGTTCAAACCATTTCAGAACTGAAAAATTCAGTTCTGACAGACTCAAACAAGTTTGAAACCTAAAAACCCAGTTCAAATTCTGCTCAAACATGTTTCTAAACTGAATACCTGCCTAAAATGGGTAAAAGCATTTCAGAATGGTTTTAGCCAGACAAAACTGTATTTAACATGTTCATACCCAATCCAAACCAGATGAAACCAATATGGGCATGCTCAAACTGGCTGTACTGTGCAAAAGTGATCCAAATTGGTTTCTAAATTGAAGATAACTGGCTACAATCATGTAAAAGTGAATCAGAACAATCAGCACCAGAAGAAAAGATTTACCATGGGTAAGCCTGTTCAAACAAAACATAACTGGTATTGACATGTTCGAGTTGGTTTGTACTGGATAGAACAGATTCAAATCAATTTTTCAACTGGATAAAAACATTTTACAGGGTAAAAGTGACTCAGACAGGTTTTAATCAGAAAAACAGATTTAAGAAGTTCAAGTTAGATTCACTAAGAAAAAAAAGGGAGAATATTCCAATAAATCAAATTAGAAAGGAAGAGAATTTGTAACAGCCATCTCAAATAAAATCAAGAAACTACTTTGAACAACTTTATTCAAATAAAGTGGAAAAATGGAATAGTCAGATAGTCAACATACAACCTATCCAGAATGAATCAGGAAAAAAAACTAGAAAACTTGAATAGACCAGATAGGCTAAGCAAGGAATTTGAAACAGTAATCAAAATATCTTTCAAAAAAGAAAAGCCCAGGACCAAAATGGTTTCATTAGTGAGTACTAACAAACTAATACCTAATTTTTCTCCAACACTTTCAAAAATTAAGAAGAAATGCTCCCAAGCACATTTTATAAGACCAACGTTATTCTGATACCACAGGGAAACAAGAATACCACAAAAAAAGAAGAAGAAGAAGAAAATAACAGGCTAGTATCTCTGATTAATGTAGACACAAAATTCTCAATTAAAATCTTAGCTTTTCAAATTCAACAATATATTAAATGACTCATACATTTAAGAATCATAACTCCAAGTGCAATTTATTCCAGGGATATAAAGGTGATTCAAACTATGTAAATCAATCCTATAATTCAGCTTATTAACAAAAAGGAAAACAAAAGTCATATCAACAGCAGCAGAAAAGGCATTTGACAAAATTCAGTACCCATAAATGATTAAAAACTCTTAGCAAACAGGCTCAAAGAAGCATACCCCAACATAATAAAGGTCATATGCCATTCCCCAAACTAATAAGCTCAGGGATTTAAAACTGAAGTTTTCCTCTAAGATCGGGTTCATGACAGGATGTCCTTTCTCACCACTACTATGAAACATAGTATAGGAAGTTCTAGCATTAGCAATTTAGTCTAGAGAAAGTTATGCAAGGAATTTCAACTAAAAAGAAGTAAAAGTATCACTATTTGCAGGTGGCATGATAATATACATAGAAAACCCTAAGATGTCAATGAAAACTATCAGAAACAAAAAATTAGTGCAGTGAAATGGAAAGAAAAAATTCCTTTGCATTCCTATATGCAAATAATGAGCTAGGAGAGAGAGATATCAAGGAGGGAAAAATCCCACAGAAACATCAAAAAGTATTAAACTTAGCAATAAGCCAAAAAGAAAAAATATATATATGGAAAAATCTGGTCAATTAAGCCAAGACATTTTTAAAAGAAATAAGACAAGAAAATAGAAAGATATTTCCTGTTCATGAATTGGAAGAATATTAAAAATGACCATCTTACTCAGCAATACATAGTTTATGCAATCTCTATCAAAGTTTCAGTATTATTCTTCAAAGAAATAGCAAGTACAGAACCACAAAAGACCCTAAATAGCCAAAACAATCTTTAACAAGGAAAAGAATAAGAGTATAACACTCCCAGACTTTAAATTATTCTACACAGCTATAGTAATAAAAATAGTATGTTATTGAAATAAAAGGGTACATCAGTTAATGAATAGAATAGAATAGAATAGAATAGAATAGAATAGAATAGAATAGAATAGAATAGAATAGAATAGAATAGAATAGAATAGAACAGAATAAAATAGGAGACCCTAAAAATAAATCCACACTTATATGGACAGAAGCGAAGAGTATGTAGAGAGAAAGGAAATTCTCTTTGAGAAATGATATCAGAATATCAGGTAGTCACATTGCAATACACACACACACACATATATGTATACATATATATACATATATACACATATATATATTAAAACTGTACCACTATCTCACTTCACATACAAAAATTAAGTCAAAATGCATTAAAGAACCTGAATATACAAAAATTAAGTCAAAATGCATTAAAGAACCTGAATATACAATACCTGAAAAAATAAAATACATAGAAGAAAACAAAGGCAAACACTCCACAACACTGACTTTAGTGATATCACCAGTAACTTGACTCCAACAACAAAATAAACAAAAGCAAAAATAAACAATTGGGACTATGTGAAACAAAAATGTTTCTTCACATTAAGTAAACTATCATTAAACTGAAAATACATCCTGCCAAAAGGGAGAAATCTTTGTACATCATGAATCTGACAATGGGTAATAGCCAACAAGTACAAAGAACTCATCCAACTAACAAAAACAACAAATATCCCAATCAAAAATTGGGCTCAAGAGCTCTCAACCAATGTTACCAATATATTATATATATATAATAAATATATACCAGTGCACATATATATACTATATATACCCATACATACATATACATGTATGTATATATGTGCGTGTGTGTGCACATACATGTGTGTGTATATAATCACTCAGAAATAAAAGCACAACCTGTAATGCAAAAAGCAAATACAAATACAGATGCGGTAGCTACTAGCAGTAAAAAATTTGCAGACTTACATAAAACTCAGGTTTCTCATTCTTGTGGATTCTCATAGCTTCAGCAACTCCGAGATTATAGGCAGCATTTTTTTTATTCTGTTTTCTAACAGCCAGATTTTTCATCTTTGCAAAATGAAAAACACACATACTCAAATTGAGTCTGTAAATATTACTTATATTACATTAAAATAATCCTTCCAAATATAAACCTGCCTTTTGGAGGAAATAGTACTTTCTGATGTCTTTACAATTTATAAGTGGGTTGAGGGATTTATTGTATTTCCTAGTTTTGGGCTTTAAGCACCAGAACCTCCATGGAGATCATACAAAGAATATAATTTACATAAATAGTTTTAACTCTGATATTTTAGATGTAGGGAATGACAGTGGGGTCAATTATTGGAGCACATAGAAATCTGGATAGAGCAAATGCAAATGTGTCATTCTGTCTTCATTTGCTTGAAATAATTCATGAATTTTAAGGGAAAGGACTTGATCAGGATTATATTTTATCCAAAATAAAAAATAAAGCCATATCAATCCATTAATTCCACCTGTAAGACTATTCCATATGGGAAGAACATCCATTACTTAAGCAACATTCAGCTGCATTATATTCATACCAGTGTTAGTAGTAAAATACTTGGATAAAATATAAGTTTTAGTTCAGTATAGAAACATGGTTGCATAAATTACTGAACAGATACATATAGAAAGTCTAAATTGCATTTTATGATTATGTTCTATTGTCCCACTCTAAATTGAGGTGTTAAATACCTGCTGTTTAAAGATAGCCTCTTGGTCCTTCCATATTTGATACTGCTGTATAATCTGCTCATCCTCTATCTCTCTCCTCCTCCTCTCCTCGCTGTAGTACAATGGGGAATTCCGCTGTGCTCGTTGCAAACACAGATAACACAGTTCCTAACACAAAGTTTTAGGAAAAATTAATTTTTACCTTTTACTGTTTTTGTGCCTTCCCATTCCCATTACAAGTACTTCAAAGACTGGGTATATCAAGAAGCATACTTAAAAAGGATACATTATCTACCCTCCCTGGTGGCGCAGCGGCTTAGAACACAGCACTCAGAAGCTAACGTCACTTCAGCATGAGTTCAATTCCTGCCCACGCGGGAGATGACCCACATGGCGCGGCAGACCTCTCCTGACCCGCCCTGCTCTCCTTAGCAGTGTTCTTCATCAGTTGGCCTGTTCTGTCCCCCACTCTGTCTCTGGAGAATCCTCTCACTGCCCCTGCACCTCTAACCTGTATGCCAGTTCTGTATGCATAAATAAAATCAATCTTTTTTTTTAAAGGCTACAACATCAACAATTAGCAAAATGAGATTTGCAGAGAGAGTTCCTATAATATTCAAAAGGATGTACTAAACAGAGTCTTTATAACAACTGACAAAGATTTCCCAATCTTATTCTTAACTAGGAGATCTTGCTAGCTCTACTAGTTCTTGACTGAATTACAGTTCAATTTGGGGTCCTGAGTACTTTAATTATTCCCATAGATTATAATAAAAAAAAGTGATTTCCATAATTATGTTTGAGAAATAAAAGTCAAGGAAAGATTCTAGTTGAATTTTGTTTATCTGAAGACACTGTACCTGTCCAGCTTTGTTATGGTCACGGCAACCAGGGTCTGGAGAACTCTGAGGCTTCATTTCATTGTCATTTTTTGGGCCAATTGAAGGTGATACACTATAAAAATATTAATTAATGTTTAACACAGTCTAATCTCTACAACAATGGTAATTTAGAGGCAAGTATAAACATGAAGGAAACATCTCAGTTATTTTCTGCAGAACATCTGTGTGTACAGAGGTTAAGAACTTATGCTTTGCTTCAGATAAATCTGGGTTTAATTCCAGTTTTTTGTTTATAGGCTGACTGGATTAGACAACCTGAGTAATCTTGCAAAGACTCAGTTATCAACCCTGTGAAATGGGGATAAAGTTTCTTCATTCTACAAAAATGTACTGAATGCTAACTGTGTGCATTGTTCTAGACATGGACAGTGCAGTGAGGAACAAAATAGAAACACACAAATGAAATTCCTATCCTTGTGGAATTATCATTCTGATGGGGACAACCAATAAAACAAGCTAGTGAAGGTATAGTTGCATGGTGATGACAAGAACCATGCATTGCTGGGGGGGGGGGGTGAAGGATTAGACCATAAAAGGAGTGACCAGGGAAATTCTCAACATAAGAAGGTGACCTTTGATTAAATACCTGAAGAAAGTTATAACAATGCTAATATCTGATGGAAAAGGCTTTCTAGGTAGCATGAATGAGCACAAATCCTTAATGGGAGTGTCAGAAGAGGGGGAGAGTTGCCTATATTCAGCATGACTACCTGGAGATGAATTAATAAGGAAAACTAGGAGAGAAATCAGTGACCTGGCAAGCTTTGCAGACTGTGGTAACGATTTTGGTTAGAACCTGGTAGGAACTGGGAACCAGTAGAGGATACAATGTCCACCTTTAACATTTGTAGAGAAGAGAGCAGGCCCTCTGTTACTAAGAAATATAATTTGATACAACATTCCTGAAAATAATTGGTAATGTGTATCAAAGGTATGAAAAATGGGCATTACTTATATAATTGAAATTTTACTTAAAAGTGTTTGTCCCTTGGAATATTCATGTAGGTGCAAAGAAGTATGTGTAATAAGATTTATCGTATTACTTATAAAATAAACTTGATACAAATGTACAGTAGGAAATTGGTTAAATAAATGGTTTAATCAGTGAGGTAATTTGCAATCACTTGTTAATATTTTGGAATATTTTAAGCCACAGAGAGATTTTCACCACTTATTGTCTGTTAAGTATAACAAAGGTTCATATGCTATGGTAATTAAGATGTGTTTATGGTTGAAGTATAAATATAAATATGTGTTTGTAAATGCTAGGAAAGCTTCCCTAATAATCCCTAGCAATTAATTACAGCCTCCTCTTTGTGGCCGCTGTATTTTTGTTTTATCTTGTGCATTATTTCTTCAGCATCAGCCCAGTGGTTTCAAATTAAGAAAATATAGTATGTTAACACAAAATTTCCTCTTTCAAGTGAGATTGAGTGATTTTTTTATATCTCTTGCTGTTCTCATTTTTTTTCTTCAAAATTTCTGTAAAAACATATATTACCTTTGTAATAAGTACACACTCACACAAAACACGTTTTTCATCAACTTCTTAGGAAACTAATAATCCTTAGCAAGTACTTCATCCTCTTTGCAGACACTGTATTTTCTTTTATGTCTTTCTCATGTGCATTTTTTTTTAGTGTCTCCCTCCCTAAAAGACTAAGCCTTATGAAAGAAAGTTTACATGTCATATATATATATATATATATATATATATATAAAGATTTTATTTATTTGTGCATACAGAACTGGGCTACAGGCCAGAGGTGCAGGGGTGGTGAGAGAACTCACCAGAGTCAGAATGGGGAGCAGAACAGGCAGATTGATAAAGTACACTGCTAAGGGGAGCAGCAGGCGGGCCAGAAGAGGTCTGCCACACTACGTGAGTCACCCTCCTGGCCGGGATCGAACTCATGCTGCAGTGGCTTCGGAGAGCTTCATAATGCAGTGTTTTAACCCATTGTGCCACCAGGGAGGGCCCATGCCATTTATATATCTTGTAGCTCTGTTAATGTCAGCGTCTAGCATAGTGGCTGGCACACAGTGGTGTTCAAACATTTGTTAGGCTAAACTAAATTCCAAAGTACTAACCATTTAATTCTTAATTATCTTTTAAAACAGTGGGAAGATCCAAAACACACATTTTGGATAGTAAGTGACTCTAGCAACCCACTGAGTATCTAAATTGTACACAAGACTTTATGCATAATATATTAATAAACTGCAGATTGACGGTGCATGCAAAGTGTGTAGTATAAGTTCAATAAGTACTAGAAGTTTGTTGACTCATATGATGTCTTAGCAAGAAAAATGTGATGTCCTAAGGGAAAGTGGAAAGGGAAAAAATAGAAATCTTGATACATAACAAAAAGACTTAGCTATTATAAATTGTGATTCATTGATTCACTGAAGGAATGTTTGAAAAGCCCACCATGTTAAGCAAAACTGCTTTCTTATTTTTTGAAAGGCAAAATTTTTCTCTTTTCCTATTTTTTAAGTATTTTTACTCTAAATATCAAACTGTGTCACATGATAATATTCTAAACTCTGATAAAACAATGGACATTTCGCTAACTCCACATGGAAAGTTAGATGTTTCCTCTCTGCTTTGTTTCCACTCTATCATGGCATTTATCCTAGCAAACTTCAATTTATTGTTCTGTTTGCTTGGATTTTCCACTAGATTGTGTTCCCTGCTCATCTCTATTATTCCTATCATCTGACACATAAAACCTAGTCGAAGATACTGGATGAAGGGATGAATGAGCACATTCATGTCTGTGCTTTCAAGATATGACTCAAAAATATGTTTAGAAATGTACAATAGGAAAAATGCCAAAGCCTTACCACTCTGGGTTCATTAACTTCTCACTCTGCTTCGCCTTGTCCTGAGAGTTTTCACCTGCTACTCTGGCAGGAGAGAAGACTGATCTATCTCTGGGTTTCTGGGGTGAAAAGATCTCTGTAGAATAAATGAAAATGAGTTTCTTTTCAACTCTAAATGGGTGCTTTGTACTTAACAAATTTTGGACACTCAATTTTCCCAAGGAAAGTTTTCACATAAGATACACATTTTTATCTTGTTGCCCATTGCCCTAATATGGTTAAAAAAAATAAATAAATAACTATTACTATACAACTTACCACACACTCTTCAGAAAGTACAAAGTAGTAAGACTTTGTACCAAAAGATCTTTCAATAAATAGAATTGGGAGGGGGAAAAAAGATATACATAAAGCTTAAGAGCTCTCCTTTTGGGGGGTCTTACTATGTGTCAAAAGTGCTGAGTGCTTTTCATAAATCTCAACTCAAGAATGATGTGAAATGTCTAAATCCCAAATTAACAGTGTGATAGTTCAGGATCTGACATATTCCAAGAAGCCATTTTAGGATCCAGTGATGAGAGTATACAGTGTTTAAGGAGAAACTGAAACATTAAAATGGTTGTCAGAGATGAGCACGATTGAGACTGTAAGAAAGAAGAGCATTCACGGTGAGAGAAACAGTGAAGAAAACCAAAACGACTCAGAAGGATAAAGCATCTAAAAGAAAATGAGTAGAAAATTTTTGCTAAAAGAAGGAATTGTAGGAAACAATGACAGATGAGGCTAAAGAAATAAAAACATGTGAATACTAGGCTACAGTTCATGTGTGATCTTGTATATCTACTTAAAGCAAAACAAACATACACAAGTCAATTTTTACCCACTGATACTTTTCATGTTTTGCTTTGATGTCAATTAGTTGCCAACATTTAACCATCATATTTTTTATAAGTCAGGATTTTGGTTTCTCTTGAAAAATCAGAAAACATGATATCATTTCATCTGTATTTCCACAAATAAATCTGCTAAACTAAAAGTCCTTGTGGGTAGTCTAGAAAACCCTGGGGATCCCTAGGGCACTTTCAATATCAAAATGTTTTTGAAGCCACAGGACTTTCTTCATACACTTCAACCAGAACATATTTCAGCAGATTAAATGAAGAAAAGATATGGTAACCCAACTACTTCGATTAAGTCAGATCAAAAATGTAAATGACCACTTACTTTTCATAAAAACTATTATGTATGCTAACATGCCTCTCTATTATATTACATCCACTCTGCTTAATGCATTTATGTTGTCTGCCTGGATCCAGTAGCCTTAGTTTTGACACCTTTCAGCAGTGATCCAGCAAAAAGATCATGATCTAAGTGCCTGAATGTTACAAACATAATTGCAGGAATAGCAGGTGTTTCTTCTTTTTTTTTTTTAATATAAAATGTATTTATTACTGTTAATTTTTTTATTACAAAGTTTATTTTTACATCATTTTGCACATTTTTTTTCCATCTCGATTGTAATCCCCGCGGGTTTCCCATCACCAAATCACCCGTGTGCCACCACCTTAGTCCCGTGCATTTCTCTCCCTTCCCCCCCACCCCGTTTTTGATCCCATTCCCCACTCTACCCCCACAGAATGTCTCTGGTATATGGTTGTTCATTATTTTTGTTATTTTTTTTTTCTCGCCTGGTCCATTATACTCAATAGCAGGTGTTTCTTAACAGGATACGGTGATTATTCATGACCTTAACTTCATTTACTTTGGACATAGGAGTTGCTAAGTAATATGGTTAGACTCATAAGCAGTGAAGACTGACAGAGTATACCTAGAAACCATCAGCCTACCTCTGATGCCACCTTTGTTTGACTTGTCATTTAACTTGGACTTTCTTTGTCTGTTCTTTTCACCTTCTTCTATAATGGTCTCCATAGGGGGCTTGTTCTCCATCTCCTTGAATTCAATCCTAGGAACAAATAGAGATGTTTGTCCACTACATTGGGCTTGAATAGGTGATTATAAACTTTCAATTTTTCTAAGTAATCTACCCACTCACTGATGATGAAATAGGCCCACTTCTCTCAAAGGGGCAAGTGTTTTCATTTACTGACTAAAAATCAGAAACTCATTCTCTTTGAGGCTAATTCTGGGACCCAACCAAGACTGTCCTCTGCTATGCTAAAGTCTCAAAGGGAGTTCATAGAGAGAAATTGCTCTGGAGGCATGGGTGTAAGTTTCTGGTTTCGGTTGAATTTGTCTGTCCTTTCTAGTTCTGTAACCAAATGCCACAGGGGTAATACAATAAAAAGTGGTCATTAGATAGTTTGAAGACCAGGAGCCATAGCTGGATAGACAGAGTAAGTGCAGAAATAATTTAGACAGGAGAAAGCAGCTAGTTCAGAGGAAGTTATATAAAGCAGAAGAAAGCCCGGAATTTTATTAATGTTACCAGGACAAAGTTGATAGGAAGTAATGTTAGAATGTGTTAAAATTTTCAAGGCACTAAAAGGAATATCTTCAATTCCTTTTGATTTTCACTGGAAATAAAACCTATCTCCTGACTTTTAGTCCAGAAATTTTAGTTTACCATCATGTTGAGCCCTACTGCACTCACTGTCTCTCTGTGTGTCTCTCTCTCACACAGAGGCTTATGCACAGGCGCACCACACCACACATGCACATGAATGTCTAAAAAGGTTGAGGTGCACTACACAATTAGACCAACAGCCCAGTCAGAATTGCTGGTGCTGGAAGCTCCTGTGGAGCAAAGCACAGACCTTGGAAATGCCAGCGCACTACTGGGACGCCTTCTGATGTCCTCCTCATTAGACAACACCGAGTCCACAGTGCCCGGCCTCTGCAGGCAGAGAGAGAAGGGTTAAACTGGATGTGGTCCAGGACATCAACTACTTGAAGTACTGGCTGTCTTAAAGGCAAGCTACCACCATACTCTCATCATTTTTGTTTAAAATTGGTGTTTAAAGTCCAGAGCTTAAAATTCAATGAATAAAAAGAAACACATGTCGGCCCTCCCTGGTGGCGCAGGGTTAAAGCACAGCACTGAGAAGCTAAAGCCACTTCTGCATGAGTTCGATCCCTGCCTGCCCTGGAGGTGACCACATGTCGTGGCAGACCCCTCTCCTGAGGGAGCCTGCTGCTCCCCTCAGCAGTGTACTTCTTTGATCTGCCTGTTCTGCTCTCCGCTCTGTCTCTGGTGAATCTTCTCACCTTCCACATCTCTGGCTTGTACCCCAGTTCTGTATGAATAAGTAAATAAATCTTAAAAAAAAAAAAACACATGTCTTTTGCAGCAACATGGATGGAGCCAGAAAAGATCATGCTTAGTGAAATAAGCCAGAAAGAAAAGGAAAAATACCGATGGCTTCACTCATAGCAGGAGTATCATGGAACAGGCGAGAAAATAATGATAATGATGAACAGCTATATACCAGAGACATTTTGTGGGGGTGGAGTGGGGAATGGGATCAAAACAGTGGGGGAAGGAAAAAGCACTGGACTGTGGTGATGGCAAAAGGGTGATTTGGTGATGGGAAGCCCAAGGGGATTGCAAATGAGATGGGAAAATGCACAAAATTATATAAAATAAACTAATATAATCGTTTTTTAAAATTCAATGAATAATGTCCTGATTTAAAAATAGTCACCCTGGTAGTCACCAAGCAATTCCATCAATGCTGCTGTTGCTCAAACCATTTCCTCCTTGGAAATTGCCTTCAGAGTTCATGACCTCCTGTAAGCATCTTTAAGAGTGACTTCTTGATGACTACCAAGAAAATTAACAAAGTGGCCAATTCCACTCTTGACCCAAATAGAATATAGAATTGGACAGTTAAGAGAAGGGCTCTGGAGTCCTGTGGAATTTTGTTCAATGCCCCATAATGCTAATAGTTATGTAGCCTTAGACCCTAGGTACATGAAGTAATAATAGGATCCAATTTAGGGGTTTTTATGAGGTACTTTTTATAAGTGGCCAGAACATCATAAGCACTCAACAAATGAGCCACTACTGTAATTATCATAACAGCACATAATAATCACATTTTTATATACTAATATAGATACATAAAATTATTATTTGGGGATTAAAATATGTCTTACAGAAAGATTCAAAAGGAATTCCCAAAAGACGTTTTAAAGATATTTTGAGCAAAACAGCAGCACTAAAATAAACACACACCTTCCCAGGAGGACCGTTCCAGGGACAACACTCAAGTACTAACACCGGGGTATTCGGGGCAGAAACAATCATTCCTACTACTTTGCAGCAGTTCCCCAAATGTGTTTTATAGACACTAATGCTGTGGGATTAACCTAAACTTCCATGATTATGTAGAGTCATGTAGTTGAAGAGGTTTTTTGGAGTCAGACTTATCTGGTCCTTTGAACAGGCCTGTGTGCTTGGTGCCTTTGTGTCTGCAGCATCGTGATACATGCAGCAGCTCTCTAGTTTGGTCTTTGGGGTGAGGCCAATTGGGGAAAAATCACTACAGTTTACATTTGCACAACTCCATCTCCTAAGCCCCTACCCCAGAACTGAAAGCAGATTTTAGTGTAGAACCAGACTGTATTTAAAATCTTTGCATGCATTGAACTTCATTGTCTTTTCTTGTAAAGTAAGGCTTTGTTCTATAGGACACAGAATGATATAATACTCCCTGATTATCTAGTTATTTTATAGAACAGCTTTGTAAGTTTTTTGAAGTGCCTAATTAAGACACATTATGAGATTCAGTTGTTCTTGTGGGTTGACCATTGCATTGCTTCCTTACACTCTGCTCTAGCCAACTTAGCATGAAGGTCACACCAGCTGCAAGGGTCACCCATCAACAATAATAGGTTTCTATGAAATTTCTTCTCCAACATGACAAATTAAAAACTAAAGATACAGTTCCTTGACTTGGATTAGGGTTTTTTTTAAAAAAAGAAAAGATTCATTTGTTTATATATACAAACGCTGGGGTATGGTCCAGAGTTGAAGGGGTTGAGTGGATTCTCCAGAGACCAAGTGGGGAGAAGAACAGATTGACTGATATACACTGCTGAGGGGAGCAGTGGGAGAGACAGGAGAGGTCTGCTGTGCCATCTGGGTCATTTTCCTGGCCAGGGACAGAACTCATGCTGCAGTGGCTGTAGATAGTTTCATAGTGTGAAGACTTAACCCCTTGCGCCAACTGATCAGGGAGGCCCCTGAATTAGGTTTTATTGTTGAATTATGTTTATTGTTGAATTATGTTTTATTGTGGGACTTTCATTTTTATTAAAAAAAGAAATTATAAACATCAAAAAAAAATTGAAAATCTAGGCTTGAATTCCATTCTGCCACTTACTACCACTCATTTGTAAAAGCAGGGTTATAGTAATACTGGTTTTATAATGCTTTGGAATTCAAATAAAGTAATACATATAGAAGAAATTTAAACTCTAAAGTATTATAAAACATTCAGAATGAAATTTTATTACTATTATATTTTTTTCAGTTGGCATTTATTAAAAACTTAAAAGACACTTGTCCTTTTAACCTTTTTTGTCAGAGCTAATAATCTACAAGCAAGCATTTCTTTGCACTTGGAATAACTGCCATTTAAAATATGTCAACCTGAATTTCCCTTAATGATAATACATTTACAAGATGATTCAAAGCTAAAATTGAGAGGGGGGTAAAGGAAAACGTTAATTTACATTTGTTAGGACATTCACCAAAGCCCCACTTCCATCCATTGTACAAAGGAAGTCCTTAAAAAATCTCATCTTCACTTTGTCATCTTTGATCACAAGGACCCCAATTCCTTTGAATACAAATTCCACATGTTGTTTGATGGAAATGGATCGTGATAAAAAAAGCAATGTCTCCTTCACACATCCTTCCACTGTATCCCTGTTAAATGGACCCTCCAGGGATATCATGACATAATTCAATGGAACAACTGGGATATCGCCTATAGGAGAAAAAGACAGTTGGGGTTGGGAAAAGAAAGTGGACATATCAAACACACAAAGAATTATCTGGTCTCGCTTCATACTCAAAAGTAGAATTAACCATGTGAAGCTGTTAATTGTACCCAATGAAAAATTATCCCAATAGACAACTATCACAATTAGTTATTAATAGGTATTAATCAGAACAATTTTCTCTAAAAGTGTCATGCTCTTTGTTTAAAATTAGAGCAATTAGCTTCCTAAACAATATGGCTCACAAGCTTTTGATATTCTCTTAGAGACAAAATAATAACTAACTGCTCTTCTTCATCAGTGGGTTTTCTGATGTGTTCAGTCCCTTATCTTTCAGGACATGGTGCAGCAAGATTAGACTATTCCTCCAGTCATCATATTATTATTAAATGATCATAACTGTCTACAAATGAGTATAAGTTTTTATGGACTTATTAGCCTAACTTTTAAAATTTTTACTATTCACATTAGGTAACAGAAACACAGTTTGTAATCTTTTCCATAGTTAATACTGACTGTAATTTTCTCAGCCAGAGACTCCAATTACTTGCTCTTGTTTATAACCACTTTTAGTTTCATAAGGGTCTGATATAAGAATAAAACATTTACAACTCTATAATGTAGAATTCACATAAATTAGCATCAGGGCTTCTCACACCTGTTAATTACTGATGTTTAAAATGACCCACAGGAAGTCTGGTTGCTATTTTCCTGCTATGGCCTCTCTTCCAGCCAAAGGTACTCTGTGGAAAATGAGCCCCTCAAATCAGAAGACAGTAAAGTAGCTACTAGCCAAATTTTGCCCATTCACTTTCATTCCCATACCAGTTAAACTTGTAGAAAAAGGCATAAATATTTAAAATATTTACCAGGAATAAATACTTTGTTCTGTTTGAGTCTGTGCTTCTGTATTAACTTCTCTGACAAGATGAACATGGGTCTCTGAATTAAAATAAGCTTGTTCCCTACCTCAAGCTTTTGTCTCATCAAAGTAAAAGTTCCAAATCCTGGAATCTGAACCCCCTGCAGAAAGAAATGGGGGTGGGGGAGAGAACAACAAACATGATTCATTGAAGGGGTTAAAAAAAAAAGCTTTAGTACTGTTATCCAAAAATGTGATGAGAATTAAGCTTAGGTCTTAAAAACTCAGTGATCTCTATCATCCCTAACAGATATAACATTTTCACATAAATTTAATATACGGTGTATCAATCCACATACTGATTCATCCTAACAGCAGATTCCCTATCTTTGTATATCACTTAAAGGGTAGGAAGACTAAAAAAAGGTGTGGATGTCATAGCTGCTTTTCATTTTCATCTGAGATCACTCTTATAAATTGTGTGATGCTTTAAATTATAGGCCAGCAGAGGTGGTACACCTAATGGAGCAACTCCGCTTTCTCATTTCCCCTTCTAGCTTTTACAATTCCCTTAAAGTCAGGTCCATGACCCAGGCACATATTACAATATGAGGATCTTTGCTGAAGGGTAGATGCAAATGCTTTGGTTCTCAAACTGAGACTCTGTCTCCCTGGAAATATACACAAAGGCCGAAAAATGCAAATGCAAGGGGAAGGGAGGTAGAACTGAGGAAAGATCCTTCAGACTCCTGCACTGGCACTGAAATTGAAATCCTACCTTGTGTAGGGACAGCTGCCGTTGCACAAATTCTGCCACAAGTCCCCAGATAGTCGAGACATCTGAAGTTCAAAGGAAACCAAAAGTAATTTATGTTCATGCTCATATGATATAACCAGTGCTAATAAGTAAAAATGTAACTACAACATGCACAATCAGTACTCAGCAATAAATAAAATAAATAAATTCTTGCCATTTGTGACATAATGGATGGAAATGGACAGGATAACGCTGAGCAAAGTAAGTCAAGAGAGAGACAAATAGCAGAGGGCTTTTTTTATATGTGGAATATAGAGAAACAAGCTAAAGGGTCATTCAAAATCAAAATAACAAACCCAAAAAACTTTAACATTAAGGTTCACATAGGGGGAGGAGATTGTATGAAGCAAAGTGTGGAGGACTTTTAATACTTTGTGGTAAATACAGTGACCATATAAAAATTAATAATAAAGACTGACCCCCAATTAATTTAGAATTAACAAAGTAAGACCATTCCAAGAGTACTTCTTTCTGGTAATTAAGAGCTTACCTGTTTTAAATTCCAAAAATATGGCTGAGAGAGGGCCCTCCCTGGTGGCGCAGTGGGTTAAAGCACAGCACTAAGAAGCTAAAAGCCACTTCAGCATGAGTTCGATCCCTGCCTGGGAGGTGACCCACATGGCACGGCAGACCTCTCCTGACCTGCCCGCTGCTCCCCTCAGCAGTGTACTTCGTGGATCTGCCTGTTCGTGGATCCACTCTGTCTCTGGTGAATCCTCTCACCGCCCCTCCACCTCTCTAGCCTGTACACAATTCTGTATGCATAAATAAATAAATCTTTAAAAATATATATGGCTATGAGAGAGAAAGGGATCGGAGGGAGGGAGGAACAGGGGACTGAGGTGATGATGCACAGGCGGCTGCAGCTCGCGTCAGTGCTGGGCTTTAACCCACTGCACCACCAGGGAGAGCAAAGGGCTTTATTTTGAATTGCTGCATAGACTTGGCGCTATCTGCTTGGAAGCATAATGTTACTGTGTGATATGAAAATATACTCTAGGTACAACTAATATTTAAAAATACAGAAAATTATGTGTGCTGATTTCTCCACTCCAAACTTAATCATGTACTAAAGATACTTTCCAAAGAGGAACTCTTTGCAAATCAAAAGAGTTTTGATTCTCAAAGTTAAAGCTCAAGAACAGTGATATTTATCAGGTTGTTATTTCAGGACAGACATATAAATGGTGTCTAAAAACACTTCTTTTCCCATTTTGAGAGTTGTTTGGTTGACTGGTATAATTTTTCCCCCCCTAAACCACTACCTAATGCAAGAAAATTGCAGCCTTTTTATTTCAGTGTGTTTGGTTATAAATATTTTATGACCATACCACGGAAAGAGGAGAGCTTAGAAGTAGCAGTTACTCTCATGGACATGTGAAGTCAGATGAAGATGTGACATGACAAGGAGGGGGCACCCAGAACCCCTAAACCTGCCCACTCTATATAGGTTCCACCATCTACCACATCAAGACAAACATATTCTAATGGGTAAGACCTTAGTAGAAAGGAACTTTAATACAATTAGTGTGCAATACAGAAAATATAGTTTCTAAACTAAGCACCTGAAGTTACCCATCCCTAGGTGGGCAAATGTCCAGCCAAACAGGGTCGGCCCAAAGCAAGGACCAAAAGCCCACCACACGTGCAAAGCACCCTCTGGCAGGGATCCATAGAAAAGGGTCAGAAAGAGACAAGTCTGGTAGTAAAGGAGCAAAATCAAAATCAACATAAAAGCTGCCATTGTTAACCTCCATATGGGTCTCTCGCCCACATCTGTTTCAACCAGTCCAGGACCAAAAACCAAGTGCAGCTTCTTCCCGTGTCTCTGCTCCATGTACCTCCTCCAGGTCTTTTTCTTGCTCTCCACCCTTCCTCCTTCCTTTTCCATTCTCCCCTCCAGCTACTTCTCCCTACAGCCCCACCCTCCCAGTACAGGCAAGAAACCTGGAAGCTCCCCTTTTCCTGGGCACCACCCTGTGAGCTCATGCTCACACACTACAGTGAGATAATGTGCCCTCTGAGTAATGTGCTGTAAACAGGTGTTTTCTCTATTCTGTCCCATCCTGCAAGTACTCACCACTCCTCTCTACCCCCACTGCAAAAGTATTTTATTGTGAACTGCTAAGAACTAAGAAACTCTTTCAGCCAATCCCAACTGTAAACTGAATTACAATTTCCAACATGACAAAAAAAAGTCTGAATTTACTAATATTTCAGAACCTCAGTATCCCGATTTACATGGAAAACTTTCCAAGAGTGTCTACCCTTATTATTATTTTTTTAATCCCCTAAAATCATTTCATTAAGGACTAAGGAACAGCCCTAAGTTACAGTGACTTGATGGTAATAATAATTTCCATTTCTGGAGCACCATGCCTCCCAAGAGCTCATGGCTTGCAGATCTCAATGTCACCTTGGGCTGGCTCTTTAGAAGTTATGCTTTTTAAGCAAGCCTCATAAGTTTTCTTTTAGAAGGTTTCAGTTCCTCTTCTACACACTTGCCCAGTTCTTTTAATGATCATCTCACTTTCTTAACACAAAACCCAAGATGTTAGGGTAGAAAAAGTAGCCATGTCTTTTGCCTGACCTCTGAGGAGTCCTTC